TGCATATAATGACTTATGTGTATTAAATCATCCTTGCATCTCTGGAATGAAACCAATTTTATCATAGTGTATGATCTTTTAAATAGATTGTTGAACTTGATTTCTAAGTATGTTACTGAGGATATTTAAATCTATGTTTATCAAGGATATTTGTCCCCAGTTTTCTTTTTCTGTGTGTTCTTATTAGGATGTGATAGCAGAGTAATACTGGCTTTATAGAATGAGTTGGAAGGATTCCTTTTATATCCATTTTAAAGAACAGTTTGAGGAGCACTAATGTTGGTTCTTTAAAAATCTGGCAAAATTCAGCAAGAATTCAACCAGTCTTCTGATTTTTCTTTTTTTGGGAAACATTATTATTACTAATTCAGTCTCATAGCTTGTTGTTGATATTTTTAGGTTTTTAATATCCTCTTGATTCAATTTGGTAGGTCATATGTACATAGAAATTAGTCAATTTCTGTTTTCTATTTTATTGGAATATGTTCTTTCAAAATAGTTTCTCATAATAATCTGTACTTTAGTGGTATCTGTTATAATATTCCTGTTTGTCTCTATTTTTTTTTTTTTTTATTTTGGTCTTCTGTCTCTTTTGATTACTTTGGCTAAGAGTTTGTAGAACTTGTTTGCTTATTTATTTATTTTAAAAACCATCATTTTGTTTCATTGATCCTTTGTATTGTTCTATTTTATTTAGTTTATCTCTGATTTTTACTATTTCTTTCCTTCTATTATGTTTGGTTTTGCTTTATTCTTGTTTTCTAGGACCTTAAGGTTGCATTATTAGCTTATTTATTTGAAAAAGATCTCACAGTTGTTTGTTTTTAAGTAGGCACCCATAGCTAAAAGTTTCTCTCTTGGTACTATTTTAATTGTATTCCACATATTCTGATATGTTGTGTTTCCATTTTTGTCCAAGTCTAGGAATTTCAGAATTTCCTCAGATTTCTTCCGTGGCTCATTTTTGTTTGGTTGGTTTGGTTTTTGTTTAAAAGCCTATTCTTTAATCTCCATGTCTTAGTACAGTTTCTTTTTTTTAATTGGCTGTTCAAGACATTACAATGCTCTTGACATATCATATTTTGCCGCAGTCTGGCCTGCAGCAAACTAACCCGGGGGGGGGGGGGGGACGAGGAACTTGTGAAGGTTGATACAGCTGGAGTGGGAGCTGTTTATTGTAGGACAGTAGGGGTATATATACATAATTACACACAGCTTATCTTAATTAACATAACCTAGATACAGCAGTCAACCAATAAGGAATCTCCACACTTAATGGCTCGCTGGCGTTACTTCACAAACCACTCCCTCTGGCAAAATGTCAGGTGCCATCTTGACTTGTTTACAGACCCTAACAATATTTCATACATTTGATTCAAATGGGTTATGAATTCCCATTTTTACCATGTGTACAGATTGCAGAATCACATTGGTTACACATCCATGTTTATACATACTGCCATACTAGTGTCTGTTGTATTTTGCTGCCTTTCCTATTCCCTTCCTATCCCCATCCCCTCTCCTCCCCTCCCATCTTCTTTCTCTACCCCATCTACTGTAATTTATGTCTCTTTATATTAATATGAAGCTTATCCCAATATTATCTGGAAAGTTGAAGGAAATTATTTTTGTTTTTTGTTTGTTTTTTGTATTTGTTAAGACTTGCCTTATGGTATAACATGATATAGTTTGGAAAATCTTTGCCATAGTGAGGTGAGTTTCTTGTAGAAAAACAAAATTGTTGGATCTTTGTTCTTAATCTAATCAGCCAGCCTGCATCTTTTAATTGGAGAATTAAGACCATTTACATTCAAGATTATTTTAAAAAGGTATGTACTAATTCCTGTCATTTTGTTGTTTTTCTTCTGGTTGCTTTGAATACCATATGTTCATTTCTTTCTTCTATATCCATCTTAAGAGTTTTAATGGTTTATTGAGTTAATAATGTTTATTTCCTAATTCTCATTTGTTTTTCTACTCTTCTAGAGTAGAAAATAATTATTCTAGTGAGATTTATTCTTCTCTGTGCTTTTGTGATTGTTTATCATGCTTTATATTCTGAGTACAGAATTCCTTTAAGTACATTCTGTAATACTAGTTTAGTGGTCATGAAGTTATTTAGTTAATGCTGATTTTGGAAGATCTTTATTTAGTTTTAACTATTTAAATAATTTAAATCATTATTTAAATAATAATTATATTATTATTATTATTAAAATTATTCTGAAGGATAATTTTGCTTGATGTAGTAGTCTAGGTTAGAAGTTATTTTCTTTTAGACTTGCTGTCTATCATCCCATGTCTTCTTGGCCTTTAAAGTTTCTGTTGAGAAATCTATTATTCTGATGGGTTTGCCTTCATACATGACCTGGAACTTCTCTCTTACAGCTTTCAATATTCTTTTTTTGTTTTGTATTTTGGGCAGTTTAATTATGTTTTATTGTGAAGAGGTTCTTTTCTCATCATGTCTATTTAGGTTTCTAGATGTTTCCTGTTCCCAGGCATCCATATCCATCCCAAGATTTCAGAAATTTTCTATTATTTCACTGAATAAATTGTTTATGTCTTTAGCTTTTACCTCTGCTCCTTTATCTGTACATGGGATCAGTACATTTTGGTCTCTTTTTTTTGTGGGGGCGGGGGCGGGTACTGGGGATTGCATTCAGGGACACTCAACCACTGAGCCACAACCCCAGCCCTATTTCATATTTTATTTAGAGACAGAGTCTCACTGAGTTGCTCAGTGCCTTGCTGTTGCTGAGTCTGGCTTTGAACTTGAGATCCTTCTGCCTCAGCTTCCCAAGCCACTGGGATTACAGGCATGCACCATCACATCATCTACATTTGGTCTTTTATTCATGACCCATAGGTTTTGTATGTCCTGTTCATTCTTATTGTTTTTCCTGATTATTGTCTGAATGTATAATTCATCAGGTTTATCTTCAAGTCTTAATATTTTTTTATATCACTTGATCTAGTCTGTTGTTGAGGCTTTCAGCTAAATTTTTTATTTGGCTTGTGGAGCTTTACATTTTTAAGATTTATGGGTTTTATTTTGTTTCAGAATCTCTGTCTCTTTTTAAAATTGCTCTTCATATCCTTAATTTTCTTCCTTAACTCATTAAACTGTTTATTGATATCTTCTTTAAATTCAATGATCATTTTAACATCATTTAAAAAATTCTCTGCCATTTCCTATACTTCAGTATCTTTAGAATCAATTATTCGAGAGTTATCAGATTTTGGAGAAGTCATGATGTCTCATTTTCTTGTGTTTCATTTATATCTAAGTTAATATTTGTCTATCATTGGGATTTATATATCTTCTATTTTTATGTGAAGGCCTTCTTAGAGAATAGCCTTCTGATAATTATGTGCCCTAGGTTATCAGTTTGTTGTGTACTATTGAATTTTATTACAAATGTATTTAGTAGTATAATTTTCCCATGGCTTTGCTGATTGTGATTGGTGAGATTGGATACAGTGCATACTATTCGAACTTGAAGGACCTGCTTCCTCTGTAGGTCTTGAAAGAATAGGGGTCCCCCCATAATTTAGGCTGGTGTATTGTAGATAGCATAGTATACTGGGTGCACCTTCTGTGGTAATTCTTCCTGTTTTGTCAACAATGTGGTATCCACAGTAATTGTGTCATTATTATCTGTCTGTTGCTATGGGATTGAGTTTTCAAAAGTGGGACCTCAGAACCCTTCTTTTATGAATACAGAAGGCTGAGTCATTATTCGGGGATGGGGGGCTTCTGTCTCTTCAGGCTATTTATTTATTTATCCTAATTTAAAGCATTCGTTAAGGTTTGAATGAGACTAGGTCATGGTTGGAGTTTCTCTCAACTATGCTCTGAGAGTATCTCAGAGACAAAGCCCCCACCCACATGCTTGGGGTGCCATGCTTGAGTCAGAGCTCCACTCACAAAGAAGAAAAAAAAAACAATAATAATACCCACAATATAAAGACAAACCAAATATCAAAATACAGTAAAATTAAATTGAAAACAACTGCAACACCATAGTAATAGAAAAGAACGGGACAAATATACTACAGAATAAACTGAAAAGTTAAAAAAAAAAAAAGCAAAATTCAAAAAGAAGGAAAATGAGAGAGTAGACGAGAAAGAGAAAATCCTATTTAATATAATAAAAATAAGATTAAAAGGTCATGAAAAACAGCAAAATAATATAATATAGAATAGACAGAGGGGAAAATATGAGTCGAAAATTCTTCCTAGCAGAGATGTGTGTTTGGATTTGAGAACTTATTTCCTGACATGTGCATTCTTTCTCCAGAGGCCCTTATCCTGCATGCCTGGTGATGTGGTTGATTCCTGAGCCACAGAAAACCTTTCTTATTAGCTGAGCTTTTTGGCATTATGTGGGCCATGCCAGATGGCTATATATTTAGTCCCATGGATTACAATCTTTGCTCCTAGCAGCATGGAAAATGTCCAAGGCTGGTGCACATCCAGGATGCTTCAGAGTGTGGGGGGAATAGTCAAACCAGCAAGTTCTGCACTGGAGATGGAGCCACAGAAACTGAGTAGTTTGCCACCATTAGTCTCAGCACTCTCAGACCTCATTCCTTCATGACACTACTTATGACCTGATAAAGGTCATCTAAAAAAATACCCCAAGAGTATATATCATGATTAATGATGATTCTATGAAAGTATTCTTATTAAATACTAGAATAAAACTGCTATTACTTTGAGTATTACATTTAAGTTGGAGGTTTTATTAAACGTGAAAAATAATAATGAAAATAACAAATGGTAGATATGAAGAAAATAAATTTGGAGTTTCTGCATAGAAAATTAAAAAACATAAACACTGGAATTAATGTTGGAAAAATTGCTTATATGATTGACATGCAAAACAATTTCTATTTTTAGGGTAATAAAATATCTATAATTATAAACAAAATTAGTTTGAGCTAATCACATTGTCTATGTAAGATTTAATGTTAATTAATATTTTTTTAAATAGACACATCTACCTTGGATTGCCAGCAGCACTAAGAGGATTAAGTTTTATTCCTGCCTTTTTGATCCTGATTCTTTTGAGAAAACGTCATCTACCTGGTGAAAATGACCCTTCAGGAACTGAGCTTGCAGTGACGAAGATTACAGAGAAAGAAAAAGAGTGCAAAGATGTTCAACAAAATTCCAAGGTTTTGAATGATGAAGAAATGAAAACTAAACTATAATGTCCTATTCTATCAGCCTTCCCAGAGGTGGAAAACACAGTATAAAACTTAATTGTTTAAAAATCATTAGAGGTACTGCAGGTAACTTTTCTTATCTTTAAGAACTTGCTCATGGTGAAAGTGTTCACTATATGTCTGAAGGATCAGAACAGCACTTGAGATGTTTTAGAGGAGACATTTATGACAACCACTAAACAGGATTTTAAAGCCAGCTTTACTTTTTATGTTAAAGCAACAATTTCTCTTTTAACTCATTCAAAGAAAGGGTCTGTTTTCTACATCTCCTTTTCCAAATAGTTCTAAAATTTTTCTATTCTAAAAATCTATTTAATGCTATCAAATTTGTATATTGGGGTTATTCAGAGACTGAGATTTTCATCCTTTCATGTGAACTTGAAATATTTTATTCATATTGATTACTTTCATGTGAAGTAAGCCTACAACTTTTTAGTATATTTAGTAATTGTTCTTTGATATTTCTATTCATTCCAGATATGAATTTTCAAAGTAGATTGCTCATTACTATGTCATCTTTTGTTATCAATTCTCTCCTTTATTACTCATGTCATATATTTGCTAATTTTGTTCAAAATACTGACAAACATAATCAGGTTATTAAAAGTTATGTAGTGAATATGGTTGGAATTTTTCAGCAATTTAAATCCAACAACTCAAGTCTTTTTAAAAATAAGTATCTGAATGAAAGGATAGAAGGACATTATGAGAAAAATAGCTCTTACAGACCACTTGTAGTACCAGATATTGTCAAAGGACTATTTTCCCAGGTTCAGGAGGCTTTTGTAGATCAATGTTTGTTATTGATTGGATCCTAAGTTAGAACACAAACATTAATTTCCAAAACTTATTTGGGAGAATGATACTTTTGAAAAGTAGCTTCTTTTATGAAACTGAAGTCAATAAAATTCAACATATCCATGAAAAACTAAACCTGTTCATGTTATTTTTAATTTATGAGTAAAAATAATTAAAAGATTTTAGAGGTACATGAAAACTTTTTAATAATATAGGGCTCTGGTTCAAAACAGTAAATGAACATATTCATCTACTCCTCATTCTTCCTCCATTTTAAATGAAAGTCAAAATCCCTAAAGGTAGAGAGATTATAGGAAAGAAGGGTGGGAGAAGTGGGTGTCAATACACTATGATAATTTGTGTTGAATATAAAGGAAATGAGAGTATCCATAAGGAATAGAGTGGAAGAAGGTATAGGAATTTTAAATGCAATTAGAAGGAACTGGAACTTAGGTAGGAGATTCTGAGTTGGTAACTGGACAGTGTGTTATTATAAGAAATATATAGGTGCCTGTTACTATAACAAATATCTAGGATAAACCAACTTAAAAGGTTGGAAAATTTGATTCACAGAATCAGGAGTTTCAATCCATGGTCAACTGATGCTATTGTTATGGGCCTTTGGCAAGGGAACACCTCAGGAACCATGTTGAAAAGAAGCTACTTACCTTGTGTTATCTAGGAAACAAAGAGACAGGAAGGATTTAGGGTCCTAATAGCTCCTCCAAGGGCACAACTCCAATGACCTAACTTCCTCCCACTAGGCTCCACCTCTTGAAGGTTCTGCCACTTAATATTATCAAACTCAGGACCAAGTTTTTAACACATGGGTCTTTGGGGGACACTCCGTATCCAAACTACAGCAGAAAACAAGCCTCTTAATTGAAGGGCTTTCTACAGAATTTTGTAGACCAATATGACTTCTTAAATGAGTGTGTCCTTTAAAAAGAAAGAAACTGAGATGACAAAGACTGGGTAGAACAGGTTAAAAGTTAAATTTTAAGCTTGTGATTTTTTTCAGACTTCACACACCTGATGTATTAAAAGTATCTGAGATTCAAGACAGAAATAGTGTTGAAATATGAGAGAGGATCTAAAATCTATGGATAAGAGGTGTATAATTTTGGAGTTTGTATGACTACAGAAGTGAAGTGTACTATTACAGGTTTATGACATGAAATCTGGAATGGCTTTTTTTTTGTATGTGGGAAAAATAGTCTGGAAGCTGAAATGAAGAACAAGGACTTTTACCTGGATAGTTGTGAGAAAAAGTAAATAGCGCCTGCATGAGAAGGTTTTGAGGGGAGCAAATTTTTCTTAGATGTGCACTGGTGAAGAGAATGTTCATTCAGGAGTTTGAGTACATACAGGACTGTGAGGTCCTGAGGACACAGTGTAAAAAGTGAGTGAGTACTTAGAATTCTGGGGTTTCTTAGATGACTTATATGAACAGGAACAAAGAATAAAAATGAGATTAGTTCTGATGAATTCAAGGCAGATAGTGTTGATGACAATGTGAGGGTCAAAATTAGGAGGAGTGGCACCTAGGTCCCCTCATGACCCTTCATCATGGAGGCAAACTAAAGAAAAAGAAATTTATTGGGAACACCTTAATCCCTATTGAGAGGTTTGACATGATCAAAGAAAGCTAAGTCTTACTCTGCTCACAGTTTACCTATTTGAATTTCTTCACTGGAGCATTATAGCTCAGAGAGACATGAATCTAGACCTAGTGCTTTGGGTTCACTCCTAACCCCTCATGGGGGAGATAATATTTCATGGGGGAGATAGCACAGGGTCCTCCCTTGACACTCGTTTGACATTTCTCCCTTGATGGGAGCAAGCAGACCAGAGAGAGTGGGTGTTGGAGTGCGTGGGGATCTCTCACGACCTTTGTTGTGGCATCTCTGAGGCCTCAGAAGTTCTTGTCCTGAAAACTGGCATTATCCCATAAGAACAGAGATTATGTCACAGAAGATATATTTGTAGGAAAGCTACAAGAGAACAGGCCATGAGAAGTCTAGGGCTATAATTTTCTTATCTAATATTGTAGAGAAATCTAAAGTTAAATAGTATTAGAAGTAGTACTTTATCTATCTATCATCTTTCTATTATCTATTGGTACTAAGGACTGAATTTAGGGGTGCTTTATCACTGGGCTACATCCCTAGCCCTTTTCATTTTTTTTTTTTATTTTGGGGCAGTGTCTCACTAAATTGCTGAGGCTAACCTTGAACTGGCAATCCTCCTGCTTAGCCTCCCATGTCTCTGGGATTATAGGTATGTTCGACTGTGCCTGATTAATGTATGTTATATAATTCTAAACGTAATCAATATTTACAGGATCTTAAAAAATTAACTTTGAAAATCAAAAGTTGGGGAAAGAAATACAAAAAGAAGAAGGAATAACCATTCCTCATAGTTATAACATAGATTTAAATGTTTCTTGACAAATTAAAATTTAATGGGTACATATGTTAACATTATGAAGCTCACTAGCAGAGGAATTAAAAACAAGACTACTTAAAAGAGATGTCTCTGGGGCATTAGACTCATTATGAGGAGGGTCAAAGAATAAGGCATTTGTCTTTCAATTTTAGTTTCCTATATGTTCTTTGAGGTTTTGAAATAATATTTCATAAAAAGTACACATAGTTAAAACAATAATAATAAAATGAAACTCGGTCTCCAAATTATTAGATTTTGAGGATCTCCAATGAGTGTTTATGGAACAATTACTTTCTCATTTCAATACATGGATATATAGAGAATGTGTGTTTTAATGGTGTATACCTGAGGAAGGTAGTAACCAAGTTATAGGCAATAAAGTTCAAGTACAATTCAAGTTGGTGTCATTTCATTAGAGTCAATAAATATACAATGAAAACAGTTACAAACAAAAGTACTAGGTAATTTCATACACTATGGATATGTGGTGATTTCCTGCTTTTGCATAAGCTACCAATGCAAGTGTTGATGGGAGATGATGGAGAGAAAGAAAAAACTCCAATTCTTATTGAGGGAATAACAGAACCAAATACTACAATGTTTTCTTTGCTGGTGACTGTAGTTGTAGTGGGTATAGTTTAAGCCAATGAGATATTGGCAGAGGTCTGCAAGTTGTTCTGATCTAAGAAGACTAAGCTTTCTGAGGAGACATTTTGCCCTTTTTCCTTCTTCCTTCCTGAACTGTGGATGTTAACCATTTAGAAGCAGCAGCCGTTTTGCACACCGGAGGCAATAAGTACAGGTATGAAAGAACAACATGAAGGATGGGGTAGCAGGAAGACAGCTGGAGGCTGGACACCCAGTGCAGGGCTAAACACCACTTTAGGTTTATAAAATTTGAAGCGAGAACTTATATAAGAAAAAAAATCAAAATTATGAATACATAATGGGGTTAAAAAGTAAATATTAACTTAGAATGAGAAAAAATATAACAAATTCCATGTGATATGTTTCAGGACACAATCATGACCAAACAAAATAAAACAAAACAAACAAAAAAAACCAAACCTACACCAAACTTAGTTAAATAGGCTCTATTAGAAGCTTTGCTGTTGATGTAGGGAGTGAGAAGACAGTATCTGCTATACCATTTCCAATCTACCTTATACTGTATGTCCTAGCCAGGAACCAAGAGGAAAAAGGATTAAAATTAGTGAGGATAAAAAAATAAAAAGTAAAATATCAGTGGCATTACAGTTTGAGTATGTAAAAAATCCAAAAGTTGCTACAGATAAACTATCACAATTAGTAAGTTAATTTTAACAAGTTAACTAGCTACAAAGGCGTACAAAATCAAGTGTATTTTTGTCACATATCAATACTTAGAAAATAATACCAGTAAATCATACTATTTATGTAGCATAAAACACACACAGGTTCCTCCTTCCAGCGTACAGAGCGGAGGGTGGCGAGGCTCATGTAGCCGCTGGCGTGAGTGGGGCGCTCTGGCTACTGCATCTACTTCGACCCAACTAGAGCGAACCCAACTTCAAGAACAGGCATCCGGACCGAAGAAGCAGAAGCTTGCCAAGGAGAGAGCTGGGTTTTCCAAGATACCGACCTTAAAGATGCTGAAGCTGTTCAGAAGTCCTTCCTTGAAGAAATACAACTCGGCAAAGAGCTGCTAGCCCAGGGTGAATATGAGAAAGGTGTGGACCATCTGACATACGCAGCTGCTGTTCGTGGACAGCCACAGCAGTGGCTGCAAGTGTTAACAGCAAACTCTTTCACCACCAAGTGTTCCAGATGCTTCTGACTAAGCTCCCAACAATTAGAGAATTGTGAGTGCTCAGAGCTTGGCTGAAGATGATGTAGAATGAGAAACGAATGTCAACATAATAAAAAAAAAATGTTAAAAATTCTTAACTTGGAAGATGAGCAGCTCTGGGGGAATAAGGGTAAATGTGTTTGTTATAGACTGCCCTACACTGAAGTCTACCAAAGTTGTTGTTTGCTTTGTGGAGATCCATTCATTTGTTTTATTTATTTTTCCTAGTGAAAATTGTATTTTGATAGAGCTTTTCATTTTATAAATACACTATAAGTTACTAAAATATCACAGATTGCATGTATTCCTAAGACATGCAGTTAAAGTGTATGCATGACAGAGGCTTCTTGGGCTAAAAGCAGCCAATTCTCAGTTTTAAAAGTTAGGCAAAAAAGTGTGAAGAGTGTACATTTTTAAAGCTAGTACATTTTACTATAAATCAGCAAATTGGATAGAAACTTTATTGTTTGAGAAAATGGAGCATTAAATCTTTGAGAGTTCATTTCATCTCTGAAACGTGAGGTATGCTACTGTGCTGTGTTAACTTTACCTCCTGCCTCTGTATCAGTTCTAAAATCTTTTATTTAAATTAGTGGGCTTCTGTCTTCTGGGTATTATATCCTTATTTTAAGTATATGGGGTTGCAGATGGCACCAGGAGTTAGATCTGTGTGCACCTGATGTCACCACATGAGCTTTGCCAGTTTGTGTCTGCTCACTTTCCTCATTTATAGAAAGAGAGAACTGGTCTGCAGATCCCTTAAGTGTCCCTTTCTGTTTGCAATTCACCTGAGTGTATTTGTGCAACCAGGCCTTGCATTTTTTTAATATTCTGAATTTTGCATGCTTGCCTGAATTAGTATTTCTGAATTGATCTTTTTTAAATGGTATGACTGTCTTTGTTTTCACTGAGACTAAATAGTTTTGTCACTACTATGTAAATTAATCTGAAACTTAACTTTTTAAGTAACTGGAATTATCTGCTTGCAAGATTATTCCTTTTTTGCTTTTATCTTCAGTGTACCTCCTTAATTCTTCAGCATGATTATCTTGTGTGGTGAATGAAGTATGATCTTGTGACTAAAGACTTGGGAAGACTGGGGCTGGTCGGACCTTTTATTTTCAAATAGTAGCATATTATCTGAGTCACAGACTCAGATACTACTTTCAGAAAGGTTGCACTAATTTGCAGTCCCACCAGCAATGTATGAGGACTCCATTTCAGAACTGAGAATAAAAAAAGATCCTTGGTACTTAATGGCAAGCACACACACACACACAAAAAAAATCAAAATACAATGAATAAATCTTACAACAGGTATCTAACAACTCTACCATCAAACTATACAACATCATTCAGAGAAATTAAGACTTATATCACGCTCCTTATTTGAATAACTGACATCCTTTTAACAAAGACAGTCATACTGTTTAAAAATCCTGAAAGGATGTCAGTTCTTCAAATATTTATCAATGGGTTCAGAGTAATTTCAAGCAAAACCCTATTACTTTTTTAAAAGTTTGTTACAACTGATATTAACATATCATTTTCACTAAAAATCTATAGTTTAGAATTCACCCTTGGAATTATACATTCTATTGGTTAGCACAAACTTATAATCATATGTATCCACCATTACAGAATCATATAGAAAAGTTTCACTGCCCTAAAAATATTCTGTGCCAGGAGTGTTCATCTTTCCCCCCAAAGTCTCCAGCAAGTACTAATATTTTTTATGGGTTCCTTACTTTTACCCTTCTCAGAATGTCACATGGTTGGAATTAGTATGTAGCCCTTATAGATGAGCTTTAATTTTTTTTAATTAGCTATATATAACAATAGAATGCTCTTTGACACATCATACATAAATGGAGTATAACTCCTCATTCTTCTAATTGTACATGATGTACACTCATACTGGTCATGTAGTCATATATGCACATAGGGTAACAATGTCTGATTTCATTCTACTAACCTTCCTACCCCTATACCTTCTCCCTCCCTTCACTTTCCTCTACCTGATCCAAAATACCTCTATTCTTCCCTAGCCCCCATTGCCAATTAGAATCTGCATATCAGAGAAAACATTCAGCATTTGGTGTTTTGGGATTAGCTTATTTTGCTTAGCTATTCTCCAGCTCCATCCATTTACCTGCAGATTGGATCATTTCATTCTTCTTTAATGCTGAGTAACATTCAATTGTGTATATATACCATAGTTTCTTTTATCCATTCATCTGTTGAAGATCAGCTATTGTGAGTTGAACTATAAACATTGATGGGACTGTGACACTATACTATGCTAACTTTAAGTTCTTTGGGTATAAACCAAGGAGTGGGATATCTGGGTCAAATGGTGGTTCTATTCCAAGTTTCCTGAGGAATCTCCATACTACTTCCAGTAATGGTTACACTAATTTGCAGTCCTACCAGCAATGTATGAGGGTACCTCTTGCCTCACATCCTCGCCAACATTTTTTGTTGCTTTTATTCTTGATAATTGCCATTCTGGCTGGAGTTGAGATGAAATCTCAGGTAATTTGAATTTGCATTTCTCTAGTTGATAGAGATGTTGAATAGTTTTTCATATAATTGTTGATTGATTGTATTTTTTCTTCTGTGAAGTGTCTGTTCAGTTCCTTTGCCCATTTATTGATTAGGCTATTTGTTTTTTGAGTTATTTATATAACCTGGAGATTTATACTGTATCTGAGGTGCATGTGATAAAGATTTTTCTTCCATTATGTAGGCTCTCTCTTCATGTTATTGATTGTTTCCTTGCTGAGAAGAAGCTTTTAGTTTGAATTATCCCATTTATTGATTCTTAATTTTACTTCTTGTGCTTTGGGAGTCTTGTTAAGGTAGTCAGATCCTAAGTCAACATGGTGAAGATTTGGGCTTACTTTTTCTTCCATTAGGTACAGGGTCTCTGTTCTAGTGCTTTAGTCTTTGATCCACTTTGAACTGAGTTTCATGCATGGTGAGAGATAGGGGTTTAATTTTATTTTGTTATCATATGGATTTCTAATTTTCTCAGCACCATTTGTTGAATAGGCTATATTTTCTCCAGTGAATATTTTTGGTTCATTTGTCTAGTATGAGATAACTATATTTATGTGGGTTTGTTTCTGTGTCTTCTATTCTTTACCATTGGTTTCTGTGTGTATTTTGGTGCCAATACTCAGCTGTTTTTGTTACTACAGCTCTGTAGTTTAAGGTCTGGTGTTGTGATGCCTCTTGCCTCACTCTCCTTGCTAATTTATCACATCAATAGAATCAAATGATTATCTCAATAGATGCAGAAAAAGCATTGACAAAATACAGCACTCCTTCATAAAAAGTTTTTCCCTAGAAAAACTAGGGATAGTAGGAACATACTTCAACATTGTAAAAGCTATCTATGCTAAACCCCAGGCCAACATCATTCTAAATGGAGAAAAATTGGAAGCATTCCCTGTAAAAACTGGAACAGGACAAAGATGCCCTCTTTCACCACTTACTTGTATTCAACATCATCCTCGGAACTCTAGCCAAGGCAATTAGACAGGAAAAAGAAATTAAAAGGATACAATAGGAAAAGAAGAACTCAAACTATTACTCTTTGCCATGACTTGATTCCATATATAGAAGATCCAAAATATTGCACCAGAAAATTTCTAAAACTAGTAAATGAATTCAAAGTAGCAGGATATAAAATTAAAATACGTAAATCAAATGCATTCCTTTATATCAGAGATGAATCAACTGAAAGAGAAATTAGTAAAACTACCCCATTCACAATAGTCTCAAAAAAATACTTGGGCATCAATCTCACAAAAGAGGTGAAAGACCTCTACTATGAAAACTACAGAATACTAATGAAAGAAATTGAAGAAGACTTTAGAAGATGGAATTTTTTTCTATGTTCTTAGATAGGCAGAATTAATATTATCAAAATGGCCATACCACTGAAAGCATTATAAAGATTTAATGCAATTCCTATTAAAATCCCAATGACATTCTTCATAGAACTAGAAAAAGCAATCATGAAATTCATTTGGAAAAAATAAGAGACCCAGAATAGTCAAAACTCTAATATTTTTTGAAATGTGGAAATTGACAAAAAATTATTTTATCCTTTATATTGAACATAAAGGGCCAAGAAAAACCAAAGCAATCTTCAAGAAGGACAAAGGTGATGAAGTCTACTATCAGAAGTTAGGAACTATAAGACAAAGTAATTAAGGCAGTATGGTATTGTCATCCAATCTCCCATTAATGGTGCCACCCAGTCTTCCATTGCTGGCACCATACTCCTTTTCTTACAGATGTCTCATTTAACCTATGTGAAACTAACTCTGTATTGGGATGCCCTCCCTCTAGGACATCCTCTCACCCTATTCAGATTCAAATATCTTACATCAGACCTCTGCCCTGAGACCACATTCCTCATGCCATAGGGATGTCTTCCTCACCCTGTTCAGTTCTGATACTTATACTAGGATATTCCATTGTGGGTGTCCTTTTTATACCCAGTAATGGTCAATCTTATGTATGAACTTAGCCAGGCCACAATACCCATATTTGGGGTCAATCATCATTCTGGATATTTCTTTGAAGGTATTTATTTTTAGATGAGATTGTAGACTTTGAGTAAAATACATTACCTTTTATCTTGAAAAAACTGCATTTATCCAAAGAAATTTATCCTGCAGTTTGCCTCTGGATTTGAAGTACAGCACAAGTTATTACACTGTATCACACATGAGCTTTTGGGGGACACTGATGGATACTACATGGCCAAACTTGTGGTACCAGCAAGGGGTGATGGGGAATTAGAAAAGAAAGACTCTCACACACAAATGTGAAGATGAAATAGCTGGGACCAATTAGAGGGCTGCTCTCTGATGTAGAAGCAAATCTAAAGGGTTATGTCAACAATCTTTATTTATATATGTGTCATTATCAGGTTACAGACTATACAAGCATTATTCTTTGTATTCAGGAAAGTCACAGAACTACAAAGATCTGTACAGCTTTCTCATAGTTGAAATGTGCAATGATAGGAGCTTTGTGTAGCACTCAAGGAAGCCCATTGTTTAAATTTACTCTTAAGCAGTCAGGCTCAAGAATAGCAGAGCTGATGAAACATTGTTGTTGTCTAGCATGATAATTCCTCTATCCCTGGGAGCTATTTGCCTGAGATCAAGGTCAAAGCTGATAAGACTCTTGCACAGAGCCTCCTCAGGCAGGGAATTACCATAACAGCTAGGCATCCTGTGCCCTTGCACAGAAACATTCCCAGGCAGTAGGTTTGCCTCAGGTGTGAAGTCATCAGAGACCCCCAGTCTCAGTTACTGCTCTCCCATTTTCTGTCACAGCTCTTCACAGGACCCTCATATTTAAACTATAACATTCCAACCCTGCCCCCCCAAAATTCATGCCCATCTCATAAAGCAATATACATTTAGTCCATTTCCAAGAGTCCCATTCTCATAATAGTTCCAGCATTAGACAAAAGTCCAAGTCCAAAATCTCATCGAAGAGTAAAGTGAACTCATGAAGGTTATCCCTTGTAAAGATCAAAAGCAAGTCAGTATTCAATATATAATGGCATAGAGTAAATGTTTCATTTCACAAGAGAGGAATAGGGACATAGAAGATTTGGGACCAAAGAAAGATCAAAATCCAGCTGGTCACACAAAATCCAGTTGGACATCCTATAACTCCATATCTAGCATCTGGGGCACATGGTATTGTGATATTCTTTCCAAAGGGATTGTGAAGCTTCACTTTCATGTCCTTGCTGGTTTCAGCCCACATGGCTTCTCTCATGGCTTGTCTCTGCTCGGTTACCACAGTTTTCTATGGAAGATGTCCCATGTTAATGGATTTTTGTTAATTTCAGGAGGTCTCCACTGCAGCTTTGGCTTCCTTCTCACATCTTCATGCATCAACTTTTCAGGGACAGTGCATAGGGACTCTGACTCGGCTCCACTTTTTCTGGCCTCCCAGGTCTTCCTTTGAAATCTCAGTGAAATCTTCATGACCCCCAAACTCCAGCATCCTTCATTCCTGAAGAACCAACACCACATGATTAATGCCAAGGCAAGCCTCCTGGGACCACAGCTGCAGCAGCCTCTAAGTACCTGGGTATCTGATCATGATGGGAAAAACATTCTGAAGCCCTCCTTATGTAAGCAGTGTGCCCCCCCTTATCAAAGAAAAATTTGCTTTTAAACCTTTGAGCCTGTAATGGGTATGGCCTTGCAACTTCTGAGATGCCTTTAAGCCATCTTTCCTATTGTTTCTGAGTAAAGTTCTTAGCATTACTTAGTAGCTATAATGTCTTTAATAACAGCAACTTCCTCAGCCCCAGTTTTATTCACAGTTTTCTAGCCAAACTTCAAAAATGTCAGATATTTTTGGTTCTGATTATCACAGCAATCTTGGCTAAAAGCCACACACAATACGCATGCCACCCCAGAATACTGTGCTGTCTTGAAATTCCTTCTGCCTGATTAATTACTACATCACCTTTAAATTCAACCTCACAAAAAGGTTCAGGACATGGGGAAAATGTAGGCAATCTCTTTTCCAGAATATAATACAAATGGCCTCTAGTCCAGTTTCCAATAGAGTCCTTCTTCTCTGAAACTCCATGAGCCCAATCTTTACTGTCCACAGTCCCATCAGCATTCTGGTCTTCTGAGCTCCCACAAGAATTGTTCATTAAGCATACAACATTCTAAAGTTGATCCAGCTTTCATCTCTAAACTTTTCAAAATTTCTGTTCAGACAAACCAGCTCCAAAGACCTTTGAACCACATGGTCAGGTTAGTCACAGCAACAACCTCACTTCTCAGTAACAATTTCTGTTTTAGGCAGCTTTTTTGTCATGTGACAAAAACAACATAGAGGCAGAAATGTTTATTCCAGCTCAGTTTCAGAGGTTCAGTTCAATATGGGTTGACTCCATAGCTCTGGGCCCACAGTGAGGAAGAACATCATGGCAGAAAGGTATGGCAAAGGAAAGCAGCTTAAGACATGGTAACCAGGAAGTAGAAAGGTTATTTAGGGGGGATTTTCAAGATGATGGAACAGAGATGGTCACTTTCCTGGCTGCTTCATGGCATGAAATCTAGAAAGCAGACAGGCAGCTTCTCAGAATGGTGGGTGAACAATAAAGGGAGGGGGAGCTTTACTGGTATTTAAAACTGGACATTCAAAGCATATCAGGGACTCAGGAGTTTAGATATAATAAAACAAGAAAGAAATCTCCAGCAGCACAGCTGCTGCTGTGGCTAGGCTGTAAACACCTCATTTTCCCTGAGGAAAATGAAGGGGTAAGAGAATTAAAGGAACCTGCATTTTTAGGAGGACAGAGGGCATGTCTGAGTATGGATCATTTAGAGATCAGGGACATTGCTCGACTATGAAAGTTGTGCTGCACTATACCCTTGTGGGGAAAGAGGCTGCCATTACTCCCAGTGGTGTGCAGAAGACAAAGGAAGAAACCATTTTACAGCTGTGGCACAGAGGCCAGCAGCTGTGGGAGCCAATTTCTGACAAACCCAACTTTGGCCTGAAATAGAGGTTCAGTATACACACACTGAACAAAATAAAGTGTTTTTAAGGGACCAAGAGAAAATCAAACTCTCTGTGAGGTTTGTTCATATTTCTCTCACCCTTTTTTAAAGCACTGTAACCATAAAAAATTCTCTTTGGCAATAAACCATGTAGTATATGAAATCTTTAAAGAGAGAGAGAGAGAGAGAGAGAGAGAGAGAGAGAGAGAGAGAGAGAGAGAGAATATCAAACATAGAGAGACATTTACATAGGGGACAACTGGTTATGAAAACCCAACCAGCTCTACCCCTTTCCCTCCAATCTGGCTGTTTGCAGGACCAGCTGGTAGAGATACATCTGGCCAGGAATTGAGAAGAGCAGGGCAGGAATGATTGAGTTTGGATACAAAACCCAAGATCAGAAAACATGGGGGCCACAGGTGACATAGGGGACTAAGAATTGTCTCCTCCACCACACGAGTGGAACCCAGGTGAGATCCCTGGGGTACAGTCATCTAGAGTGAACCAGCAATTACTGGGCACTGGAGGTACACTGATTTAAAGTCTCCAGACAAGTTGGCATTCAGCAAAGAGCATGGAGTCCATGTAAGCCTAAACTCTGCCTCCAAGAATTCCACCTGTGAGATTACCTCTCTCACTCCAGCAATATGAGGTTGAAGCATCATGCACCTAAAACTGCTGAGAAGAGAAGCTGGGACTTTTTTGAACTCCAACCAAAAGAATTGTTAAACTTTTCATCAAGGGTGTTTTTTTTTTTTTTCCATTTTTTTTCTTCTTACTTTTTCCCCTTGTTTTTTCTCTATTTAATCATGATCTTAAAGATACATGGACACTTATACATATCCATGTTTGGTTTTTTTTCCTCATTTCAAGCATTTTTGAAGCCAGCTATTTTTCATGGATCAGAGGACTACATTTGATTATTATATTTTAGTTCTGTTTTATACTCTTTTATTTTTATTTTTTGTAATTTTTACTTTACATTTGTATTTTTCTCTTACTGTTTCCCCTGCTTCTCTTTCTCTCTTTTCTTCCACTAACAGCCAATATCTATTGTTCTTTCACTCATTTTAAAATTTTTTACTTCTGTCTTCTCTCCCCATCCCTCATAATCATCACATCCTATATCACTTCTGTTTTCTCCCTTTCTACCATTTGAAATTGTAAATGCTTTTGCAAACTTGCTATTTTTATTGTAGGCAATAACTGATCATATCTTTTGCTTATTGTGACAATTAATATTGTAACTTTCATAGTAGGAACTATTTGGTTTAATGCTATATACTCTTTGCATTGGTTGTTGTTATTATTTGTCTCCCCCTAAACAGTGAGATATTAGAAACATTCAGGAATTATAAGTCCACAGAGTAGAAACTCTACTGCCTCAGATCCATACTGTTAGGTGGGTAGACACACAAACAATATGAAAAAGCAAGGGAACAAATTCCACCAGACAAATCAAGATGCTCCAATAACACAATCCATCAACACCACAGTAGAAGAAATATCAGAGAAGAAGTTTAGAATGCACATAGGTAAACTGATCTGTGAAGTAAAAGATGGTATAAAAAGTGAAATCAGAAAATACCGGAAGTAAAAGACCACTTCAATAAAGAGATAGAGATGATGGAAAAGAATAAGCAGGAATTCTTGAAATGAAGGAATCAATAAACCAAATTAAAAATTCAATCGAAAACATCACCAACCAATTAGATCACTTAGAGGACAGAGTTTCAGGCAATGAAGACAAAATATATAATCTTGAAAACAAAGTTGATCATGGAAAAAAATGTTAAGAGACAATGAACAGAACTTCCAAGAAATATGAGATAACATGAAAAGACCAAATTTAAGACTTATTGGGATAGATAAAGGCTTAGAGATACAAACAAAGGAAATGCACAGTCTTTTCAATGAAATAATATCAGAAAGTTTCCAAAACTTACAGAACAAAATGGAAAATCAAATTCAGGAGGCTTACAGCATCCCAAATATACAAAATTACAACAGACCACACCAAGGCACATTATTATGAAAATGGCTGGCATACAGAATAAGGATAGAATTTTAAAAGCCACTAGAGAAAAATTACATGTAACATTTAGAGGGAGACCAATCCAAATCTCAGCTGATCTCTCAACCCAAACCCTCAAAGCTAGGAAGGAGGTCTTGGAATAATATATATCAAACTCTAAAAAGCTTTTTCTCAGCAAAGGAAACAATCAATAATGTAAGGAAAGAGCCTACAGATTGGGAGAAAATCTTTACCAAATGCACTTCTGATAAAGCATTAATCTCTAGGATATATAAAGAACTCAAAAAACCAAATAACCCAATCCATAAATTGGCTAAAGAACTGAACAGACACTTCACAGAAGAAGAAATACAGTTGATCAACAAATATACAAAAAAGTGTTCAATGTCTCTAGCAATTAGAGACTAAGATTTTATTTCTATCCAGTTAGAATAACAATCATCAAGAATACAGGAAACAATAAATGTTGGCAAGGATGTAGGAAAAAAGATATATTCATATATTACTGATGGGACTGAAAATTGGTACAACCACTATGGAAAGCAGTATGGAGATTCCTCAAAAAACCTGGAATGGAATAACCATTTGACATAGATATCCCACTCCTCAGTTTATACCCAAAGGACTTAAAATCATCATACTACAGTAATGGAGCCATATCAATGTTTATAGCAGATCAATTCACAATAGCTAAACTATGGAACCAACCTCAGTGTCCTTCAATAGATGAATGAACAAAGAAAATGTGGCATATATATTCAAGGGAATATTACTCATATTTAAAGAAGAATGAAATTACGGCATTTGCCAGTAAGTGGATGACATTGGAGAATATCATGCTAAGCAAAATAAGCCAATCCCCTCAAACCAAAGGCCAAATGTTTTCTCTAATATGTGGATGCTAATTCACATTAAATGGGGGGGGGGCTAGAGAAGAATAGAGTTACCTTTGATTAGGTAGAGGGAAATAAAGGAAGGGGAGGAGAGAGGATATGGGCATAGAAAGGATAGTAGAATGAAACAGACATTATTACCTTATGTATATAGGTGACTGTATGGCCAATGCAATTCTATAACATGTACACTCAGAAAAATGAGAAATTATATCCTATCTATGTCTACTATATCAAAGTGCATAAATGCATCATATTGTCATTCATAAAAAAAATTTAAAAGAAAATAAATGCCAGCCAAGAATACTATACCCAGCAAAATTAAGCTTCAAATTGACAATGAAATAAAAACATTACATAAGAAAAAAAGTTAAAAGAATTAACAACTAGAAAGCCTGCACTATAAAACATACTCAAATAAGATATTTCATGAAGAAATGAAAAGTCAAAGTGAAAACAAGCAAAGTGAGGAACTACACTAAAATAACAATGAATCAATAGAGAAACAGATTCAAATTAAAAGCCAGAAATAAATCAAAATGACAGGGAGTAAAAATCATATCTTGGGCTAGGATTGTGGCTCAGCAGTAGAGCACTCGCCTAGCACAAGCAGGACCCATGTTCGATTCTCAGCACCACATAAAACTAAAGGCATTGTGCTGTGTCCATCTACAAAAAAAAAAAAAAAGATTTTCTTTCTTTCTCTCTCTCTCTCTTAAAAAAATCATATCTCAATAGTAACATTGAATATAAATGGCCTAAACTCATCAATTAAAAGACATAGACTGGCATATTGATTTTAAAAACAAGACCCAATAATATGCTATCTCTAAGAGACTCACCTCATAGGCAAACACATATACTGAAGGTATAAGGATGGGAAAAAACATATCATTCACATGGATCTTGTCAACAAGTGAAGGTTTCTATCCTTATATCAGATAAAGTAGTCTTCAAGCCAAAGTTAATCAGAAGATACAAAGATGGACATTTCATACTGCTTAAGGAAATTATACATCAACAAGACATAACAATCATAAATATTTATGCCCCAAACAATGGAGCATCTACATACATCAGAAAAAACTTCTCAATTTCAAGAATCAAATAGACCACAACACAATAATACTGGGTGACTTTAACACACCTCTCTCACTACTGGACAAATTCTACAAAAAAAAAAAAAAACACCTAAATAAATAAGCTATAAAACTAAAAAAATATGGTTAATAATTTAGAATCAACAGACATATAAAGAATATTTCAACCATCAACAAGTGAAAATACACTTTCTTCTCAGCAATACATGGACCCTTCTCTAAAATAGACCATATCTTAGTCCACCAAGCAATTTGTAGCAAATACAAAAAAAAAAAAAAAAAAAAACCAGAGATAATACCTTGCATTCTACGAGATCATAATAGAATGAAATTAGAAATTAATGGTAAAATTAAAAAATAAAACTAACTTACTAACTGGAGACTTGTGCATGTGAGGCAAGCACTCTACCAACTGAGCTACATCCCCAGCCCTATACTAAATGTATTCTTATCACCCAAGTATATAAGCCTCTAAAGTATAACATCTAAAAGAACATTTTCCCAGCTGGTATCCTCCAAACTAAAGTTCTCTGTAAAAAAAACGTCTCTTACAAACTTGTGTAAAAATAACAATTTAGTTAAAATTTTATTTATATCATTTACTATTTTATAATTAGATAAAAATTTCCTGTTATAAGTCATAAGATGTTTTGTTACTCTTTCCACTGGGATGGGAACTTAAATTCATTTGAAAAAAAGAGGATAAGGAGAGCCTGGTTTATTTAGAGATTAACAATATGGGATGTAAACAAATTTTGCAACTTTCCCACAAAAAGAGGTCAAAAGCTCTCTTAATGTGTTTGATTTATGTTTCAGATGTGGTGTTAAATTGTGTTAACTGATTCATATAGACTCATAAATGATATATAAAACTTTTATAAAATAATATTTTAAAAAGAGAATAAATCAGTTTCAAAAATAAAACACCTAAGATTTTTCAAGAGGCCATATCACCTAAGTTAAGACTCTGTCTCTCATCTTATTCCATGTTAAGATACCTACTCAAGTTCATTTAAAATTAAGTTTAAAAACATACACTTTTGCTATAAAAAATACTGTGATCTTAAAATAAAAAATATATAGCTAATTAAAAATTTGAGATTACAAAAAAATTATGTTCCTTGGTTCATAACTATTGTACAAACTCAATGTGTTTTTACTCTTGTTAATTTCATTTTGTATTTTGTAAACTTTCTAATCCCCAAGACCACGTTAGTGTAAAGCAGGCTTACTTATCCCTTTAGTGATAATTTTTAAAAGGGGGGTAGGATAGAACACCACAAAGTTGTTTGAATCATGCTGTTTTTGTTTTAAATTTTTAAAATTGTAATGTTAAAGATCACACTGCTGCTGAGCAACACACAACTCCCACCACAATAGGCCTGTCAGGCTTAGTCTAGTAGAAAGACTTATGAATAGGACAATAAAATGGACCAGATCAGGTAATAATATGTGGTAGAGACCATGCTTGTGTCTTTTCAGAGGGTGTGGCTCATCCTATCTTGGTGCCTGAACATGCTGTTCATCATCTCCATGGAAGATTTGAAGCTGCAGTTCAGGCAACTGGGGTTTGAGCTGGAGTTGTTGGTACTAGACCCTACTGGGAACAAGAAGCTGAGAGGAAAGAAGAGGAAGGCTAAGAAGACTGCAGACACAGAATGCCAATCTGCTAATGTGGGGACAACTGAAGAACCTGACACATGAGGCTCAACACATAATCAAATAGCAGGAAGACCCTAAGTCTCCAGCCACCATGTATGTGAATCCTGCATGACTTGATGAACATACTTAGTGATTTAAATGGATGTAATCTTTGGAACATATTAAAACATTCAATATGGTACATTTTGGGAAATGTGTTTGCAACTAATTCTATTTTGTGTTATAACAACGGTATGCTATATCTTCCAGAAAGAAATCTGAGAACTTCAAATAATAGCCCATCACTTGTATGTAAATAAAAAAATAAAAAAGGGGAAATGTTGGGAGTGGTGAATGCACAATCATCTTTGAACTGCTGAGAAACTGAGGTGATGCCTCTTTTGGGAATTTCTTGGTACAAAGGCACCTAGAAAACTACCCAGTTGTATAGTGATGCCCTATTCAAAAGGAAATTCTGTGCTTACCATGGAGTTTATCAGTTAATGACCTAAGGTTCAAATACCTATTGCCTGAGGGTGGAGAATTGTGGGTTCAAGCTGATGACTGTAATGGTATATTCATACTTTTGACCTCAGTTCTGTATTAAAGTAACTTTCTAATAATGAATCCCTTTGATGCTGAAACCTATGTAATAAACATGCTGAGCTGACTTGTCATCATTATACTCCATCAGAGTGTGGTGCCCACCAGGTCCCAGCTTTTTCTCTCGCTGTGTGTCTATTCATTATTTCTAATATCCTATTGCCTCTATCCAGTTTCCTGAGGCCACAACAGAGAGAACTCTCTGATATGTGTGTGCTGACGCTCCACAGGCAGTGGGTAGGAGTGGAGGTTCACTGGATTGGACAGGGGAAATGTGGGGAAGGGAAGGAAGATGGGAATGAGAAAGACAGTAGAATGGATCAGACATGTTTCCTATGTTTATATGTGAATACACAACCAGTGTAACTTCACATCATGTACAACCACAAAAATTGGAAGTTATACTCCATGTATGTATGATGTGTCAAAGTACATTCCATTGTCACGTACCAAAAAATTTTTTAAAATGTAAATATGTAAAAAAAGAGAGATTTACTGTAGGATTTGGGCATCTATTTTTTAAAAAGAAAACTGTCTTTAGATTTATATACAATTCACTTACTTTTCTTTTAAATTTTCTCAATATTATAGTCCTGTTATCTATAAGGATGATTCATAAGAAGATGGTTCAAATGGTGCTGTCGCTGCTATTCCATTGCTTTTTATAATGAACTTATAGTTTGTTAAAAACAAATACTATTGAAATGTAGCCTCATGGGTGATAAAAGCAAAGAATGAAATACTTCTGCAGTTGGCTCTAATATAATATAATATAATAAGCAATATAATAAAAGATAATCAGGATTCCTCTAGCAGTCAGATATTTGTAATTCCTGTTAAAGTCAATTTTCAAATAAAATAATTCATCTTATCAAAATGACATGTCAAGCTTAGTAAATTAAAAGACATACTTTACTGTCATCATTTTTGACAACTAAATGACTGAAATAAAACTTAGGAGAGATACATTCTTTCTATTAGTAAAGACATATGTCTTAGAATGGCTAATATGGGGGGATACATAGATATCTTTAATATGAGTAGAAAATCTTATTCTTTTCATAATTCTGTATGTTTTCTTAAAACTCAGACCTAGTTCAGTGTATAACTTCTACATGTTTGCCACACTGGAAATATAATGGCAATTATTCAAAATATTGATTGTATTTTCTTCACATTTGTTCTTATTAGTGTTATTTGCTATTTTCTTTATCACATGTTCAGAGACCTCCTGTTAATAAATAAATTATATTTGAAGTATGAGTAATACTGCTTGGAGGAAATTACCAGATTCTTGTATGCATAGGCATCAGGAACAAATCTTTGAATGAAAATTTAAAGTTACTAAAACCAGGTTATAACTTTTATAAAATTTCTGATCTTAAATAAAAAGCCAATTGAGAAGATAGAAGGAACTCAGTAGACACAAAATATGTGTCCCGTGTACGGCTTGTTTAAGGAAAGATGTAATTCACAAGAACAGATATACTAAGAATTGTCTATGGGACTCAAGTTATTTAGACAATTTATTGACTATAGTCAGGTGAGAGAAATGAAGAGAAGTACTTTCAAGTAATTCATATTGGTCTTGAAAATTCATAAAATTAATGGAAAATTAATTCTATTACATCAAAAAGTGAGACTTCTGGTTCTAGTCAGAAATGCAGAGAGCAGAAAAGAGTGTCTTACCTTTACCTTTACAGTAGGAGGAAAGCTGAATAAAATGCAAATTATACCCATCCTGATCTTGGCAGTAAACAGGTTATCTGGCAACAGCTAAATGGAAATTTGTAAAGAGACAGACACTTATAGGGAAAATATGATTTGGACATTTACTTACTTGGGACATACTGTGGCTTGGCTGTGGCTTCTCTCCTGAGAGGTCATGTGTTTGAAGTTTATCTTTAATGTGGTGCAAGGTAATTAGGTCATTAGGAAAGCTGTTCTCAGAAGGGTTAATTTAGTTCTTGTGGGACACTAGTTAATGTGATTTCTTCCACATGCCACAGTTTTCACCAGGGACCAAATAGACGGAACGACCTGATTGTAGACTTTTAGCCTCAAAACTTTGAACTAAATAAACCTCTTTTCTTTTTTATCTTGAAAAAAAAATGTGTATTTAAAATTAGACAGCTGGACTCTGTTTGGATGATCCCAATTTTGTTGTCAACATTCAAAGCATTGTAATCAGGAGCCAGTTGAACACATAGCTTCTTCTCTTCCTCAGGCCTGATCAGCTTGTTTGATCTGATGTTTGTTGGCCTTGACATCCACAATGACTGAAGACACCATTGTGTTGTTGTCTTCAGTCTTCTTCATAACTGACCCAGTGGTCAGGTGGAACTTGATGGCAGAGTGCGAAGGCTTCTTTCTCTTAAGCGTGCTTTTCCGAGGATATTTGGGCTGCCTCCAGAGCCACAATGTCTTGAGCCACCAAAAGGTAGGTGAAGTAGGGATCTTCTTCTTTATATGGCTGTGGATGCCCTTTAACATGCTTTCTTGGCCTTCAAAGCTTTTGCTTTGGCTTCAGCTTTGGGAGGGGAGGAGCTTCCTTCTTAGTTTTTGGTGCCATCTTGGTGAAAAGCCTTAGGTATTTTGCTATTGCAACATGAAACAACAGGATGCCATATAAGTTAGTATAACAACTCTGCTGAAAAAAAGTTTTAATAAGCTGCTAAAGACCAAGTATGGCTAGGCATACAAAAGGGAAGCCCCTGAAGCTGCAGACATAATGGGATTTATACCTCTTGTAGTTGATTCCTCCCAGAACTCCACCAGCCACCATAGGGAAAATTAGAAAGAGTCTAGAGAAAGCCGCATTGATGTCACCTGGGAAAGAAACAGTAAATACTGCTCAAGATCTGTTCAAAACCGATCTCTCTTTTTATTCCTAATGAAAAAAAGTTTTAATCTCCTGTGGGGAGGGGCAACACAACTATAGCTTGAAGGTACTGGTGAAGACTTCTGTAGCTAGGAAAGCAAGCCAGCAAAAAAAGGCAGCCCCCCCCCGCCCCCACCACTAGGTTCACAGATCTCACCTAAACACATCCATCCCCCACTTTCTCCCCAACCCCTGTGCTGATGAGCATCAGGTAAGATAAGAGTGGAATGTAACTGGAAGGAAACAAGAGACTGATTGCTTCTGGAAAACAGGGCAAAGGGGCAAACCAAAGCAACAGAGGGAACATACCTTAAATATAAGGATTCCCTTTCAGCTCTTGATACATCCAGGGCAACCATAACCACAACGCACTTCAAATCCAGCCCCACATTTGATGCAACCCCCAAGTGCAGGCATAGCAGGAGAGATGTGGTCATTTCCACATATGAAAAGTTCATTGCAACATTAATCATGCTGTGCTGTATTTTCGAATTTCAACAAAAAATTCTGGGACTTAAAAAGACAATAAGACAGGGAGCTGGGATTGTGGCTGAGTGGTAGAAAGTTTGCCTAGCATGTGTGAGGCACTGAGTTTGATTCTTAGCACTGCATATAAATAAATAAATAATAAAGATATTTTTAAAAAGACAATAAAACAGTCTGAATAGACAAAGCAATCATCAGAACCAAACCTCGGCTACAATACACATGGTGGAATTATCAGACAAATCCTTTTTTTAAATGCATATGACTCAAAGGAACATTCTTGTAGAAAGTTTAGACATTTTCTGTGGGGAGCCACCATGGATGAACACGCTTTTAAGTCCTGATGCACTGGGGTCCTGAACAATTACTGCACTCCACAATAACTTGGGCTTTACGCCAGCTCTGATAACAAGGTGTGGCTCCAGGTGTAGATGTCACCCTCTGGGGTTGAGTTATACTTACCTGTTCCTTTGTAATCTTAATCCTTCTGCCTTTTTTTGGGTAGAATGTTTTAAGAAACAGTATCCCCCAAATAAAAGCCTACTTCCAAAAACATTCCCTCTCTCTCATCACCCTCTCAAGAACTTCTCTTGTCCCCCTTTTTGGGGAACCTGAGGCTGGGAGATGGTGAAGCCATCCTGAAGCTTATAAAAGGTATTCTGTGTTATTTTGCATCACCCCAAATTCACATGAGTGAGTTTAGTTGAGCTGCCCACACTGGTTGCAGGTGGCAATTTACAATCCTTATTGATAAGATCAGTTCTAAACAAATTAGGGAATAGATAGATTTTTTTTCTGTTTTTAATCTCACTTTTCTTTGAACATTTTTCTTGCTGTGTGAATATCCTCATTTTCTTCATTTCCATTTCTATCAAAAACCTGCTTCTTCAAAACAATGAGGGCTAGGGATATCAGCAGTACAGCCTATGCTTAAATGCCTAGACTGTGTTCTAGCCCCAGCACCAAAAACCAAAAACAACAAAATGATTGCAATTGCACACTGTGAAGTGATGAATAATATTATCTCTTCCAATTTCACTGAAGTCCAAGTCTTAATTCACAGGGATAAACTTCTAGACTGGTTAGGTGTATGAAGTGTGTGGGGGGTAGTAGTCAAGAGTGCTCTATAGTTTTGCTGAAATCACATCATTTTTGTAATCATCTTCTCATCAGATTAGTTTTTGTTACCCGGATGGTAAGCATAGCCTATTCAGGAAGGGTAGAAGGCACACAAGAGCAAAATGAGAGTGACCACTAACAAATTTCATATTAATGATTCTCAGCAATATTTTTTTGGTAAAATCTCCAGTAGTACATGTGTTGAAATTGAAAGAGAGGATTCAGCCATAGAACAGGTAATTTCAGGCTGCCATTCGCCTGTGGCTTGCAGACAAATTACTCAGGCTTAGTGCTAAATAACCCGTGGAAACTGCTTCTTGGAGCCTGCTCTTATCAGAGCATACACCGAGCATGGAGCGGCCGAGTTCCGGCTCCCGGAACTGCTCTGGCCCAGGGCTAAGGAGCCCGCGGAAACTGCTTCTCGGTCCGGGTCCTGCTGAGTACTGTGGAGGTAAATACCAACCGAGACTTCGTGGGCAGTGGCAACAGGACTGAGACGGGGCCTGTGAGGGCCGGTCAGGACTCACCCGTTGCTTTGGTCACCCGGCAAAGGGAACGAAATGCTGCCATTCACATAGGATACCAACATGGCAGAGATCTGATGTCATCAGAAAGCGGTGGAGGAGAGAACTTCATCAATACCAGCGGCGACAGAAACAGTTGGTCTCCTGGTAGGGAGGGTGAGTCACAGACACCTGAGTATCTCTCGCTTTGTCTTCGAGCCAGAGGGGAGGAGCCGGGCAGCTGCCCACACCCGGAGCAGGCCCAGCGGCTCGCCGGCGTGGTGGTCCCGTGACCCCAATTGGAGAGGGGGCGGAGCGGAGCCACCACCCATGCCCGCAAGGTGGGCAGACCTGCGACCGACCCGCAGAACAGGCCCAGTGGTCCGTGGGCGTGGTAGGAGGGGCAGGGCAGAGCCGCCGCCCGCACCTGCAAGGTAAGCAGACCTGCCACAGACCGGCAGATCAGGCCCAGCGGCCTGCCAACGTGGTACACACGTCACCTCAACTGGAGTAGGGGCAGAGAAGAGCCTTCGCCCGTGCCCGGATCAGGCCCAGTGGCCCGCCGGTGTGGTGGTCATGTGACCCCAATTGGAGTGGGGGCAGAGCAGAACCGCCACCCATGGCCGCAGGATGGGCAGACCTGCGACAGACCGGCGGATCAGGCCCAGCGGCCTGCAGGCGTACACACGTCACCCCAATTGGAGTAGGGGCAGAGCAGAGCCGCCACCCGTGCCCGAAAGGTGGGCAGACCTGCGACCGACCAGCGGGACAGGCCCAGTGGCCTGCCGGTGCGACAGACACATCACCCCATTTGGAGTAGGGGCAGAGCAGAGCTGCCGCCCGTGCCCGCAAGGTAGGCAGACCTGCAACCGACCAGTGGAACAGGCCCAGCGGCCGGCCAGGGTGGTAGGCACGTCACCCCAATTGGAGTAGGAGCAGAGCAGAGCCTTCGCCTGTGCCCGGAACAGGCCCAGCTGTCCGCGGGTGTGGTAGACAAGTCACACCAATTGGAGGGGGGGCAGAGCAGAGCCGCCGCCCGCGCCTGCAGGGTAGGCAGACCTGCAACCGACCAGCGGATCAGGCCTGGTGGCCTTCCGGCGTGGTACACACATCACCCCAATTGGAGTAGGGGCAGAGCAGGGCCGCCACCCGCATCTGGAACAGGCCCAGTGACCTGCCGGCATGGTAGTCATGACACCCCAATTGGAGTAAGGGCAGAGCAGAGCTGCCGCCCGCGCCTGCAAGGTAGGCAGACCAGCGACTGACCGGCAGAACAGGCCCAGGGGTCCGCGGGCGTGGTAGACACCTCACACCGATTGGAGGAGGGGCAGAGCAGAGCCGCCGCCCGTGCCTGCAAGAAAGAAATGCAAACAGTATGAAAAGACAAGGAAAGAAAGGACCACAAGCAATGCAGGTCAACTCAACTTTAGAAGAGGTAACAGCTGCAGCAGATGGAATGTCAGATAAAGAATTCAGGATATACATGCTTCAGATGATCTGGAGTATCAAGGAAGACATTAGACAGCAAAATCAGACAATGAAAGATCACTTCAACAATGAATTACACAAACAAATCCAGGGAGCAAAAGATCAACTATACAGGGAGATAGAGGTTATAAAAAACAAACAAACAGAAATCCTAGAAATGCAGGAAGCAATAAACCAACTTAAAAACTCAATGGAGAATACTACCAGCAGAGTAGAACACTTAGAAGATAGAACATCAGACAATGAAGACAAAGTATTTCAACTTGAAAAGAACATAGACAGCTCAGCAAGACTGTTAAGAAACCATGAGCAGAACATCCAAGAAATATGGGATAACATTAAGAGACCAAACTTAAGAGTCATTGGGATACAGGAAGGTATAGAGCTCCAAACCAAAGGAATGAGCAATCTATTCAATGAAATAATATGAACAAACTTCCCAGACTTGAAGAATGAGACAGAATCCCAAATCCTAGAAGCCTACAGGACGCCAAATGTGCAAAATCATAAGAGATCCACACCTAGACATATTATAATGAAGATGCCCAACATACAGAATAAGGAGAGAATTTTAAAAGCTACAAGAGAAAGGAAGCAGATTACATTTAGGGGTAAGCCAATCAGGATAACAGCTGATCTTTCAACACAGACTCTGAAAGCTAGAAGATCCTGGAATAACATATTTCAAACACTGAAAGAAAATGGGTTCCAACCAAGAATTGTGTATCCAGCGAAATTAAGCTTCAGGATGGAAGATGAAATTAAAAACTTCCACGATAAACAAAAGTTTAAAGAATTCACAGCTAGAAAACCATCTCTTCAAAACATCCTCGGCAAAACATTACAGGAAAAGGAAATGGAAAATAACAATGAAAACCAACAGTGGGAGGTAGGACAGTAAAGGGGGCGAAAACAATCAAAGAGGAAAACAAACCATGTTTAGTAACAGAAATAAACAAATATGGCTGGAAGAACAACCCATATCTCAATAATAACCCTAAATGTTAATGGCTTAAACTCACCAATTAAGAGACACAGGCTAGTAGAATGGATCACAAAACAAGACCCAACAATATGCTGCCTACAGGAGACGCGTTTGATAGGAAAAGACATACATAGGCTGAAGGTGAAAGGTTGGGAAAAATCATATCACTCATATGGACTTCGGAAACAAGCAGGAGTGTCCATACTCATATCAAATAAAATAGATTTCAAGCCAAAGTTAATCAAAAGGGATAAAGAGGGACACTACATACTGCTTAAGGGAACCATACACCAACAAGACATAACAATCATAAATATATATGCCCCAAACAATGGTGCAGCTATGTTCATCAAATAAACTCTTCTCAAGTTCAAGAGTCTAATAGACCACCATACAATAATCATGGGAGACTTCAACACACCTCTCTCGCCACTGGACAGATCTTCCAAACAAAAGTTGAATAAGGAAACTGTAGAACTCAATGACACAATTAATAACCTAGACTTAATTGACATATATAGAGTATACCACCC